TATACCCTGAATTATAAACTGTTGTGATACTTATTTTAATTTCTAAATCATAAGGCCTGGCGATATAATATAGCTCAGTGTTGGAGCACATCACTTACCTAGTGTCAATGAGCCCTGGGTTCAAGCCTGAGCACTGCCAGACAAAACAAAACATACATTTCTAAGCTTTTTCAAATATATGCTTTTGGAACTAGAGTATGGTGTTTGGTGATAGCTCTCTTGCCTAGCATGTACAAAGGCAAGAGTTCTATCCCAAGTACCCTAGTACCCCTGTCACACACAAAAACATCCCAAAGTAAAACTATAGCCCTCAAAGCAAGACAACCCTCCAAACAAATGGCACTTTTAACATAGTATTGGTACTGGCTTCACAAATTTTTTAAAGAATTTTTCATAACTTACAAACTAGGGGAGTTTTAATGAAACTATATTTTATGTAGTTCTTAAAGTTGTGTCAGTTTGAATTTAATACGTATTCTTTTAATTTCTAGATGGACAATTAGGATTAGATAGCACTGCCCCCCCTCCAATAGTTGTGGTTGGGCCAGGCATAAACAAGCGTCCCCATCATTCAGTTCACAGTACCCACAGTTAGGCAGCTCATAACTACCTGTAGTGTAACTTCAGTTCCAGGCAGATCCAGTGCCTCTGGCCTCTATGGGCACTTGCACTTAGGTACACACACACACACACACACCCACACACACACCCCAGATAAAATTCATTGGAAAAAATTGTTAAATTGAGGTTAATAAAAATTGTTAAATTGAAGTGTAAAAACTACAGATTTTCTTCTGGCTTCCAGAATATTGGGTTATACATATAATCAACGGAGAGCAATGTTGATGAGGGAGTGACATTTTGTTCTTCTTGGTTGGGAATATTGGATGAGGCCTTATGTGTATTTTTTTTTAAGTTCTACTTGTTTTTTCAAAAAGTATGAACTATTATTAGGAAATTGTCTTTCAGGTTCTCTTAATATTTGTTAATTGAAAGTAAAAAAAAAATGCCCTTTCCTTTTAGTTTTGTCTTGTTCATTTGCTGCATGAAAGGCATTATGCTTGAGGAATTTAGTAACGTTCATCCTTGAAAGAGTATGGCAGATATACTGTTCCCCTGTTACCCCTCAAATACTGTATGTTGTGCCAAATAATACCTCATTGCCTTACAAATAGTATTTATTTAAACCTCTTAAATAATTAAACCCATTATTAAAAAGATTTATTGTTGGTGGAATATCTTGAAGAGTCAACTTTGAAAAAGAATGCTTAATATGAATCTTTATGTTTAAGAATGTTACTGTTTTTTTTTAAAGGAGGTCTTCCTAAGGCATATCCTGATAATCATCTCAGTCAGGTGGATGTAAATGAATTGTTTTCAAAACTGCTAAAAACAGGAATTCTCAAATTGTCACAGCCTGATTCAGCTACAGCACGTGAGTATGGTTATATACTTCATATACACCAACCTTAGTTAAGTTATAGAGACATTATGGGGTATAATAAGTTATGGTAAATTTCTATACTTGAATAATTGAATTGTTTGTGGTATTTTTTGAAAACCAAAAGTAATTGGGTTATAGTAAAAATTTTAACAGTATCTAAAGATTGAACTATCTTCATGGCCCATGGTGGTTTTAGTTAGTAAACATTACTGCAAATGTTAATGTGCCAATTTTATTAGTCTGTCTATATTAGCTTGGTTTGAAAATAATTTGAATGTTGAGGAAACACAATTTTAAGAAATTTTATTAGGTTCCTTGGCCAGTAAACTTCGTATCAGATGTACTTATACCAGATAGATTTCTCTATATATGCTAGTAACCAATGTTTTGCTACAAAGAATACAGGGAATGTAGTATTGAGAAATTTATCTTCTCAACTGCAGAGGTAAATGAGGCTGTTGCTCAGCCTCCCCCTGAAGAGGAGGAGGATCAGAATGAAGATCAAGATGTTCCAGATCTTACTAATTTTACAATTGAAGAATTGAAGCAGTATGTAATCTGTTTTTACATTTTTATTATTAATGTGCATGTGCTTGTGTACATGTATAATGTGTATGTTTAAGAGTGGAGGTACATGCATGTGTTTGTGTAGGTTAGAGGGTGACTGGGAGTTGGTTCTCTCCTTCCACTGAATTCTGGGGACTGAACTTACACCATCAAGCTTGTGTGATAAATACCTTTATCTGTGAGCTATCACACTGGCCTTTTGAGCTAATATTAGAGTCAGTTATTTAGATAAAGTGGCTTGAATCCCACTGCTCAAGTTTAAATATTAGGCACTAATAATTATGTATTCATGTTTTTAATCTTTAATTTTAATCTTTCTGTTTATCATCATTTTCTTCTTTCTTTTTTGAGATGTCTCTTTAGCCTAAGCTGGCCTTGAACTCTTGAGTGTTGGGATTACGAGTGTGAGCCATCATGTTCTACTTTCAGCTAGCAAGGAACAAATGTAAATAAATAAGAATGCAAACATTAGGGGCTGGAGAGATGGCTTAGTGGTTTAGAGCACATACTGCTCTTCCAAAGTCCCTGAGTTGATTCTGAGCACCCACATCAGATGGTTCATAACTTACATCTTCAGCTCCATGGGATCTGATATCTCTAGCCTCCTTGGGCACCTGCATCCATGTGCACATATACAAATAGTGCACACACACAGACATACATACACATTAAAAACACCAAGTCTTTACAAATAATGATTTTTTAATTTTTTTACGCATACTATTGTTACTTAGAACTTTTAACTTTTTTAAACTGGAGTAGAACATTTGAATTATTCAGAGCATTAAAATTGTAGGGAGGTAAACTTTCTTGTCATATCTCTATTTGTCATGTCTTCTGTATATTGATAGTGACTCCATACTAAGCAGAAGAATAGCTATTGTCTTTTTAGCTAGGGTTATTCCACTTTTAGCCAAAAGGAAATAAGGAACCAAGGCAAAATCATAAGAAAATACGCTCCATGTTTCTTCACATTTAACCAGAGTTAAAAGGGTCAGTGACACACTAACCTTCACTTAAATCTTTCTGGTTTGATTCCTGTTAAGATATGGAAAACTTAAGTATTTGTAATTTGTTTTTAAGCATTGTCATTTCTCAAAATTAAAAGACTTTCTTTTTCAAAATAGACGTTATGACAGTGTTATAAACCGGCTGTACACTGGGATTCAGTGTTACTCTTGTGGAATGAGGTTTACGACATCCCAGACAGATGTTTATGCAGATCACTTGGACTGGCATTATCGGCAAAATAGAACTGAAAAAGATGTTAGCAGAAAAGTCACTCATAGACGTTGGTACTACAGTTTAACAGTAAGTAATCCATATGTCTCTGAGTTACCTAGATGTCATTTATATTCTGGAGTATATCAGTTTAAATAATTGCTGGAAGTTAACATAAATTTTCTGAGTAAAATATGATCTGTAGAATATAGGCTTTTGTTTTTTAGTTTTACTCTTTTTGTATATGAGAATCCTGCCTATATCTCTAGCTCCATAGGCTCCGATACGTGTAGCTTCCTTGGGCACTGCACCCATGTGCACATACAGATATACATATTATTAAAAACAATAAATCTTTAAAAAATACAATTTTCTAATTTTTCCTTGTTATACATAATATTATTACTTAGAACTTTAAAATATTTTTTAAACTGGAGTAGAATATGTTTGTATGCTGTGCACTACTTGCAGGCAGTGCTTGAGGAGGCCAGAAGAGGGTGTTAGACCCCTTGGAACTGGAGTTAACAAATGTTCATGAGCCTATGTTAGTGCTGAGAACTGAATCCTGGTTCTACAAGAGCAACAAATGCTCTTAATCACTGAGTCATCTTTCCAGCTCCAAAAAAATTTAAATGAAAAATTATACATGAAGTTTATCTTAAGTTAGTGGTACCTGTAGAGTTAGTAGGAAATTAACATTAAGATCTCAAATTGTATCCTGGTTTGGTGGCACATGCCTGTAATCTTAGTACTTGGGAGGCGAATTAGTACAGGAGGAGAATTGCCAGTAGGCCAAGTATTTCTACATTGAAGGCCAGTTTGGGCTACACATTGTGAGGGTGTTGCCAAAAAAAAAAAAAAAAAAAATTAGTTACAGGGCTTCAAAAACAAATACATTAAAATAACAGCAGAGCATATTGTATGAAAATTGTACCCTTAATGTTCAGTGGATTACAGTGAAGACAAAGCAGTAAAAGCTTGAACATTAATAAACATAATCCTGAACATCAATTCCTTTTTAAGGACTGGATAGAATTTGAAGAAATAGCTGATCTGGAAGAACGTGCAAAAAGTCAGTTTTTTGAAAAGGTTCATGAAGAGGTTGTCCTCAAAACTCAGGAGGCTGCTAAAGAAAAGGAGTTCCACAGTGTCCCTGCTGGACCAGCTGGAGCAGTTGAGGTAAAGAATGAATTCCCTGGCAGTGTTCTTCACTTGCTTTACACACAGTAATGTTTTTGCTCAAGCTTGGTAGTAGAGATCAGGTATTCAAGATTAGGCCCAGCATACAGAATTGGATGCCAGTTTGGCCTACATGAGACATTGTTGTTAACAAATATAAAAGAATTTCTTCAAAGCTTTTTGTTTTTGAAAACAAAAGCAAAACCCCCCAAAAAACAATTGTGGCTGTTTCATGACCAATTTGGGTTAGATGCCATCAGTGACTAACAATAGTGAAATGTTATTATTAACCTTTTATGTGGAACGTTGGCACAATCCATAAAACTTCATTATTTATTGGACATTGCTTCAAATTTTATATTTCTTACTTAAAATGTTTTTACTTTGACAATGTACATTTGATTTTACCTGATTCTATTTTAGAGTTGTGAAATCTGTCAAGAACAATTTGAACAATACTGGGATGAAGAGGAGGAGGAATGGCACTTAAAAAATGCTATTAGAGTAGATGGAAAGGTAATTCCAGTTCTTTATTTTTTTGGTGTTTCATGTGTTAGAGTAAACTAAACTAAACTTACCATTTTGAAGATGATTCATCATCTTTTCTGGGTTTTGGTCAGTGGAAATGATAACTGGATTTTAAAGTCAGAATGTTTCCTTTGGAAGCATCCTAGCAACCATATGGTTCTATACTTAACCTTGTATAGCAGGCCCTATGAGTGTGATGCTAGACTCAGAAGTAGATTTCTGCCTAACTACACTGCATTTCACCATTAAAACTGTTATTCTCTTGAAAACAAGGCTAGAAGTCCACAAAGCCAAGTTTAAAGAGAGATAATTTTTCATACTCCTTAAGTTAGGTAAGGTTAAAAGTTAAGTTTGTGTTTTACTTAATTTTTTTGACCAAATGATTCTTATCAACCTTTGATTTAAAATTTAAAGGAAAAAATATTTCAGAATGTATTAGAAATGAACATGCATGTGAATAGCTATTTTTTTTCTTCAGATTTACCATCCATCGTGTTATGAAGATTATCAAAATGTAAGTTATTTTGGGATATTGTATATATTTATTTATATTAATAAATTTTAATCTTTATATAGTTTTTTTTATAGTAGGTTATTCATTAAATGTTGGGATTAGACAGCCTCTGATGTACATTGATTTATCACTGATAAAAATACAAATAATTAAAATTTGAAGTATTGTTTTAGTCTTGCTTTCTATTTTTACCTGAATCTTCATAACTTTTATTGGACCATCAGAGAAATGTTGAACTAAAGATGAAAAGGACCACAATGGCACTAAGTTTCTAGGGCCCTGGGAAGAATTTACTAATTTTTTCCCGTATGTATTGTCTAGTCACCTAGTAGAGGAATGACACTTTAGGCTGGGTGTGGTGCCACATGCCTTTAATCCCAGCACTTGAGAGGCAGGAGGATCTTTTGTATTTCAGACCACCCAGGTCTACATAGTGAGTTCCAGGATAGCTAGGACCACATAGAGACCGCCTCAAAATTAAAAACAAAACAGAGACTGCCTCAAAATTAAAAACAAAACCTTATTGTGTCTGCATTCATGTGTTTGAATGCTAGTTGCACATATATGGAAGTCAGAGGACAACCTTCCATGTTACTCTGTCCTTGAATTTTTTGTTTTTACTGTGATTATACCTGGCTAGCTGGTCTGCAAGTTCCCAGGGATTCTCTTGGGTATCTGAATTTTATGAGTTCTACAGATTTGAACTCAGGTCCTTACAGTTGCATAGCAAGCACTTTCATCTCATCCAGTGATTCATCTCCGAAGCTCTAGTATTAAGTGATGACATAAATTATAAATATACCCTCCAGTAGCCTTAGAAATTCAATCTGTTATATTTGTACCCTGACTTCTAAATCAGTAGAGCATGTTGCCTACTGATACTGGGTTTGATATAGAAAATATTTTTAGAACATTTATTTAGATCACTAGAAGATTAGTGTTTCCTATGGTATTTTTTTGATGTGGAGATTTTAAAGATCTTGAGTATTTAAAATTCATGTAGACATGCAAATTCACAAAGTCCATATAAGGTTATCCTCTATGACAGTTAAATACTGAAGACTGTATAACTTATTTTAGAAGTGTTATGTTAATGTGCATACTGAATGATCAGTGTTATTAGCTTATGGAAAGCAAGCATTGTAGTTGAATGTGATACGTTTCTTTGTCCGAACTAAGGGTCTTATAAAACTGTTACTTAGTATGATTTGAACCTTCATTAGTACTTATAGGGATTTTCATTTTGTAGACATCTTCTTTTGATTGTACACCATCTCCCAGCAAGACACCAGTTGAAAATCCTTTGAACATTATGTTGAACATTGTCAAAAACGAATTACAAGAACCCTGTGAAAGTCCCAAAGTTAAGGAAGAGCAAATTGATGCCCCACCAGCCTGTTCCGAAGAAAGTGTAGTAACACCCACTGAAATTAAAACAGAAAATGATACAGTTGAGTCAGTTTAAATAAAATGAGAAAGGTATGGTTTTGTTTTAACAAAAGCTGCTGTTGGATCTAGAAGGTGAATTTTTTATGTATATATAGACATATATCTATATAAATTGTCTAGCTGAGGCAGGGCCTTCAGCTATCATTTGGTTAATAAATACATTTTAGTATTTGCATTTCCTACTGCCTGCACAGTTTCAGGTGCTTGTTGTGTGAAAGTTCTGTAGATGAGTGCAAATTTAACAAAATGAAATTGTATGTGTAAAAATGTACGATTTTCACTTGTGAACTGTAAATTATAAATAAAAATATTTTTGCTATCCATGGAGTGTAATATTTATGCACACCATCAAATAAAGACAGTGTTTCTATACTTTTATTGGGTAAGAATGGAAGTCAACAGCAACCTTAATGTGAGATGTTTTTTTCTAGTATCTTCCCAGGACTTTAAGAAGCAAAGTTCAAACTTAGTTTTTCTCAAATACAAAAGCCAGAGTTAAAAAAAAAAGAAAGAAAGAAACAATAGGACGTATGTGCTTACATATAGTTATCTCTCTCCAGCTAGAATCATCCCCATCCATTTTTGGAAAGTTCGTAATAAAACAGTAATGCTTATTCTTGGACTCGGATACTGATGCCATCAGCAATTAACAAATATATTTAAGTACTAAAAGTGATTTTTTTAGAAAATATTTTTCAAATTGTCAATTTACTGCAGATGAACATATTTCTATTTTAAGTTACAGGGATTCTGTGTAAGAATGTTCATATGAAAAACATGGTTAACTTTCCTTTGTTGGTTTTGATTGAATTAGATGGGATACCATGAGATGTTAATATTCATACATGTAATAAATTGAATGATGAAGAACTTTCGTTTGTATTTCTTGAGTGACTTTAGAATGTGACCCTTTTTCATGTGTTTTAAAACATGAGTGTAGTGCCAGCTATAAGCCACACTCCTAGATACAATAAAGATAGGGACAATTAAGTAAGACTTGTAATGTTTTGTGGTGGCAGTTGGCAGGCTTTCTTCATGTGATTTCTTTGGTTATAGCACCAAAGGCTACTCTAGTTTATGAATAAAATTTAGCCACTCCAAAAGTACAGTGTGAAATCTGCTTTTGCCTTACTTAATAATCAAGGTAGATAAATACAAAAATGTAAACACTCATACCAAACTATTAAGAGAATTATTAAGGAATAGTCTGTAGAAGTGGTCTTTATAAGAATGGAATGCATATTGATAGTTAATCATTGGAGTTCAGTTTGAAAGTTAATTTTTTTTTTAAAATGTGTGTGGGTGTTATGCCTTATATGTAGGTCTGTGCATCATCTGTGTATCTGTCTGGTGCCCAAGGAGGCTAGAAGAGGGCATTAGATCCCTTGGAACTGGAGTTGCAGCCAGTTGTAAGCTGCTGTGTGGACATTGGGACCTGGACTTTGGGTTTTCTGCAAGAGCAGCTTTGTGCTCTTGCAGCCCTCTTATTTTTTCCAAAACATGTATGGTTAAACCATGGTAATTTGGTGCATTTTCATGCAAGCAAACCAAACTCCCATATACATTAAAAAAACAAAAACAAAAAACCAAGCCACAAAAACCTTAATAGTCTCTAGTAGCAAAATATAAATTCATTATAGGACAGCACAACTGATGCTATACATGAACACTGCTGTGAAAGAATTGTACTGTCCAATAATGTAGGCCATATTTCCTGCTGTACATTCTTTTTTCTTGTAAGACCACTGATAGCTACTACCAAATACTTAGAAGGCGGCCAAGAAAAGGTCTGTAGGTTAAAAAAAAATACTGGTAGGTGGGAAGGTGAGAAAGGTAGAATTACCAAAAAGGAAAAAAAAAAAGTAAGTTAAATTATAAAAATACAAGATTAAGACAGTACATGAGCAAGGCATCACGTATACCCTTTATCTCAGTACTTGGAGGCACCTGGAGGATCTCTGGATTCAAGACCAGCCTGGTCTACAAAACAACTTCAAGATCTTGTCTCAAAACAATACACAACTAATATTATGAGGGCATAACAGCTCATATGAGTGCCTAGGCTAGGTGCAACTAGTATGGACAGGAGGCAGTAAAGATACTTAAAGAGCTGCTATTGAAATTAAGCTCTGGACAAATGGGTTTAAGACAAAGAAGGAATGAATTGTAATAGAGGCATTACTGCTGAGATTTAGCTTTTTTTTCTGGGATGACTAGTGGAATTCACATTTGGAACTGACAGTTTCTAATTCTCACTTTCTCCTTGTAAGAGGCCAACTGTGACTTAGTGGGTCTTAATCAAGACCACCTGATAAGAACCTCTAAGTTGACTCTGAACAGCTAACCATCCTAGAAATGGACAGAATTAGACTTCAGTTCCAAAGATGGAAAATGTCTACCCACAGCTCTGGAGATAGAAATATCAACTACAGCTGGGCGGTGGTAGCGCACGCCTTTAATCCCAGCACTCGGGAGGCAGAGGCAGGCAGATCTCTGTGAGTTTGAGGCCAGCCTGGTCTACAGAACAAGATCTAGGACAGGCACCAAAGCTACACAGAGAAACCCTGCCCTGAAAAACAAAACAAAACAAAACAAACAAAAAAGTATCAACTGCACTGCAAAGTACCACAATACAAACTAAAGCTTCAGAAGACATCTGAATTTAGTTTTGGGGGAATAGAGATAGTTTAGCAATTAAGAGCACTTGGTGCTCTTACAGAGAACCTGGGTTCATATCCCAGTACCCTCAATGAGAGGATCACAACTTCTGTACTTCCAGTACCTGGGGATGATTCTTAGGCCTCTGCAGGCACCAGGCACCAGGCAGGCAGGCAGGCAGGCAGGCAGGCAGGCAGGCACGCACGCACGCACGCACGCATGCATGCACTCACACATAAAATCCTGATAAAGATGAAAATTTTGAGTCCACATTAAAATAGTTTGTCACCTGGGCAGTGGCAGCGTACGCCTTTAATCCCAGCATGCGGAAGCAGAGCCAGGTAGATCTCTGTGAGTTCGAGGCCACCCTGGTCTACAGAACAAGGTCCAGGACAGGCACTAGAACACAAAGAAACCCTGTCTCGAAACCAAAAGTTTGTCTTCTAAAGTGAGATTTTGGGTTGATTTTACAATGTAATTTTTCCCAATGTAAAACTTTTGAACTTAGATGTTCTGGAAAATACAAAATCAAGATAAATTATGTTGGGAAGGACTATATAAATAGTGAATGGCTTAAAAAGAATTATATTCTACTTAATTTCTCAGTGCCTGACATTATAGCTGTATCAAAAAGTACATTAAGAGATCAATAAAAATTGTTCAGGAAATTCTAAGGTGTCTAAATATGCCTTCAGAAAGATAAAATGACCAGGTGTGGTGTAATCCCAGTCCTTCTAAGACAGGCAGGAAATTCAAAAGTTAAAGGTCAGTCTAGACTCCATAGGCCCTATATTAGATAGGTGCTGAGGCTATACAGTGGTAGAACATTTCCTTATGTGTAAGGCCCCATGTTTGAGCTATAAAATCAGAAAATGTGCAACGAGAGGAATGAAAAATTATAAGGCTGTTGTCAAGAAAAGCTTCAATTTGTGGGCCAGCGAGATGATCAACATTTGGTAAAGGTACTGACTGCCAAGTCTTAGGAGCTAGGTACTAAAGAACCATGTCGTTCTGACTTCCACTCTAGCATGTGTGATCCTCTACCCACAGAAATAAAATTAAGGGAAAAAAAGGTGGCCTAAATTTGTATGATGGTAGAAGTTCTCTAATTTAAAACAGGGCCAGTTCCTTGAGGTAGAATGTTCTTCAGCAAACAGTAAACCAAGAGTCAAAAATTATCTATAGGATGTCCAAAGCAAGGACATGGTTGAGGGCATCAAAGGTAGTGGTGTGTCTTGAATGCATGGGCAGAACAGGGTGCAATGGCATGGTCCTAGCTACTTGGGAGATTGAGACAAGAAAATTACTTGAGCCCAGGGAGTTTGGGCAAAATAGTGAAACTGTCTTATTTTTAAAAGAAACAAGTTTATGGAGTACATAGGACAAAGGTATAGAAATAGTTGCCCTAAGCTGGCCCCACTCATAATGGGAGATCACTTGTCTCATCATCTCATGTTAGAAAAACAGAGGTAGGATCAAGAGATGGCTCAGCAGTTAAGAACACTGGCTGCTCTTCCTGAGGATTCATTGGAATCCCAGTACCACTATGGTAGTTCACAACCTTAACTCCAGACCCCAGGGTTTCAACTGTCTCCTCTGGTCTATGGGGGCACCAAGCACACTGTGATGCACAGACAAAAATTGCATACAAATAAAAAGTTTTAAAAAAAGAGACCAGTTAAAAACAAACTAGGTGTGGACAACTAACCATTACTAACTAGAAGTATAGTTTCCTATCTGAAAACAATTCCTAATCTCTGGAATGTTGACATGTCCACTCCAGTATGAATCTGCCTTGCTTCAATTGAGAAACTGCTTTTACTGTCAACTTACCTTGAAATCTATGCAATTCCATATCTTGATAGTTTTATTAAAACTGCTGTATCAATGACTTTGCCAAAACCAGTGTATTTTTCCTTAGCTTAATTGTGGACCATTACTTTTAAAACTATTTTCCGATTTATAGGACAGTTCATGTTTTTAATTTGCTTTTTCTTCTTCTTCTTCTTTTTTTTTTTCTTTCCCGTTTTTTGGTTTTTTTCGGAGACAGGGTTTCTCTGTGCAGCTTTGGAGCCTGTCCTGGAACTCACTCTGCAGACCAGGCTGGCCTCGAACTCACAGATCCGCCTGCCTCTACCTCTAAAGTGCTGTGATTAAAGGTGTGTGCCATGGCTGCCTGGCATGTTTGCTTATTTTATAATAAAGATTTAAAAAACAAGTATAAAAATGTCTTCTTTCATGCCTCCTTTTTGTGGTCTATAATGTAATCACTTAATTTGGTATAGCTTCTTTCCAAACTTAAAATTCACTTAAGATTGAAGTGAGATTACATTCATTTTCTCTCCATTGCATTATAACCACATGAATTAATGCCTGTAGACTGCATGTCTACCACTATTATTTGTATTTTCTATCCTTAATAAAAAAAAATCATGCTGAGTACGTGTTTACATCATGTAAGAATGGGTGCACACATGAGACAGCAACTTGCAGCAGTCAGTTCTCTCCCACCATTATGTGGGTTTTCAGGATTCAATCCCGGTTACAGGCTGACTCATCTTCTCTCTGTACACCATCTTATAGACATAGTAAAACTTACTCAGCTGTTCTTTATGGACCTTCCTCATTCTAATTAACTGTAAAGTGTTACAGTGACTATGGTTATCTATCTGAGCAAGGTATTTGCAAGACTTTACATAGTCATTGCTTCATAGGTAATTTATATTTAAGTTTTTGAATTATGGTTATATTTGCTTCATATTTGGCAAGTATTCTGGCCTACTTTTCCTCTGGTGATACTTCCCAAGGATAGATTACTTTGGGGTATTCTTTTATGATCATATAGTTCTTGAGCCAACTTTTGGATATTTGTATTTTCCTAAATTATCCAAGTCAATTTTCCAAATTATTAGTGTAAGTTTTATAAAAGAATTTATTTTTTGGGGGCTGGAGAGATGGCTCAGAGGTTAAGAGCACTGGCTGCTCTTCCAGAGGTCCTGAGTTCAATTCCCAGCACCCAAATGGTGGTTCACAACCATCTGTAATGAGATCTGATATTCTCTTCTAAATAAATAAATAATCTTAAAAAAAATAATTTTTTTTTAAAGACCTCTATATACCTTGCTCCTCTTGTTTCCAATACTGTTTTTTCTTCTTTCTCAGATTTGCTGGGTCCATTGTGTAGGCTTATCTATTCTATACAGGATAGCCCAGAAACTGAGCCTTTCCTGTTGGAAGTAGCTATAAGTACTGTTAGTTTAGTCATAGTAGGTTCCAAATCACTCCTACTAATGCCATCCTGATCAAATGTGACCTGTTTCTTCATCTGTAAGAAATAAACACAATACAGATTAGGTTTAAAATTATTTGCAAATCAATTGTCATATGCATTGGTTTCACATATTTAACTCAATAAATTCTTGACCCACAAAAGGTCTCAACTGCTCCAGTTCTAAAAAGAAAAAACTAATTAGACTGGAATGACTAATCCCATTTCCCCTTCCAACAGTAAAAATACTTTGTTTGTATCCTATCAGTTCACTCACCTGACAATCAGATCAACCCATACATTCAACAACACAGTAGCTAAATATTCTAGAGGCCAGGAACACCCAGATGTTGAAGATAAGATGCTTACCTTCCATAATGTTCACCTCCCTAGGGAGGGGGTAAAAATCAAATGTTAAGTAGGTGATTACAATGTGTGGTATGATCTAATAAAGGCTTTGGGAAATCAGGTTTTGAGGGGAATGTACAAAAACAAATAAAAAAAATCAAGGATGTGCTAGGAATTCTAATGCAGGTATTTACTACTTAACTTTGATGCTTTTTAAAATATGTAGAATGAAAAAAATACTCAGTCAAGGTTTTAGTAATAAAAAACTAATACAAAGCACTGAAAACAACAAAGCACTGAAAACAATGTTCGACTGGTCATATAAACTCAAGAAATGTCAGTCACTACTACTTAAAAAGCTATGTTAAAGAAAATCCATTTACCTCAAGGGAGAAGGTATATGGTCAGGAATTTCCCAAATGTGTTCAGAGAACATAACCATGGAGAGGGCAGTAGTGTAGTTTCTGGAGGGCAAATAACATAATCAGAGACAGAGAAATGAGAAAGTTTGTTTAGAGGACCCCAAGTCATTACTCTTGACGGGAGAATGCATGTATGGTAAGGCAAGTATACGCCCCCCCCCCCAAAAAAAAAAATCGAACTGAGAAGTAAGTGCAAGCAATATGGACGATGCTTATAATTTTTGCATTCTCAGCGGCTAGCACAAAACTCGACGCATACACTCGTAAAAATGAAGTGGAAGAATACATGTTGAGCAACGTTGTTGGAAAGGTTTGGTTCAGTTAAAAATAATGTTACAGTGAAAAAAACCTTGCATTTGAAGTAGGACTGGAGTCGTCTTTTGCCCAACGGCTGCTGTTTCTAGAACTTACCTGCTGTTTGGCTTTAGCAAATGACTGGCATCTTGAGTGCCGACCTGTACACCGGGGATGACACCTAACAAGCGAACATCCAAGAGCCCCACACGAAGCAAGCTCTCAACAATGACAGGGACTGCACCTCCTGCCGCCCCCTTTAGGTATTTTTCTCTATCTGCGAAGCCATAGGGTAAAAACAGATTTTCTTTCAAACCAACACTCAAATAGTATACCAGGCTTGCCAAGGACGAAAAGGCCCCTCCGGCGCGGCAGACAGGTCAGCTCTGCGAACCGCAGTCTTGAGACCTCCATTTGGGGGCGAGATCCACGACGGGGTGTTCCAGAGGCTGCTCTCCACAGGCGCTCGTGAGACTGAGCAAACAGAACAAAACAAAATGAAACAAAAACCCCACCGAAACCCACTCGGCACCAGCGTCCCACGGCGTTCCTCAGGCGAAGCCTCGAAAAAGGTGAAAGGAAGGAAGCAGGAAGTGACGCCACCATAAGGGATACGGAAGTGACCACACGCCGGAAGTGTACTTGTTTCCAAGGCGACGCCTCCGCCACCACTCCCACCAGGCTGCAGGCACTGAGACGCTGGAAAACGACTCTGGGGAGAGCGTTCCCGCGGACGGCGGCCTCCGCCACAGCCACCCGCGGGTACAGGAGATCGAAGACGGCGGCCTCCGCGCCAGCCGCCGCGCATGTGCGATCCGCGGCTCGCACGGCTACCTAGGCGCCGGGTCCAGGGAGAGGGTCGTGGAAGAGCAGGGATCCTGCCGCCTCAACCCCAGAGAAAGAAACCGCGAAGAAGGTGACCGCCGCTCCAGGATCTCCGGAAGAGTAGGTGAGGACGGCGGCTTTTCCCGCAGGGACTCGAGAAGAGTCAGTGAAGACCTAGGCCAGCACCGCAGTGTCTCCCAGGAGAGAGTCAGGGGACACGATGGCCACCGGCAGAGCAGCCCATGGGTGGCTGTGAGGGGCGACGGCGGCCAGTGCAGCAGCCACGCGGACCCCCATCCCTGCGACCCGAGGGGAGCTGTCAGTGAAGACGCCTGGGTGGGCATCCCTGAAGCCCGAGGGCCCCGAACCCCCGACTCGGGGGACAGAGGCAGTGACGGCCGCAGCGGTTCCTGTGAAGGAGCAAGTGTCGATGGCAGTCACTGCCCCAGTAGTTCTTGTGGAGGACTAAGTGATGACCGGGGCTATGAGGCCAGCAACTCCTCCAGGGTGAGCATCAGCGAAGACGCCAGCCGCCGCCTCAGTGGCTTCTGGGAGAGAGAAAGCGAAGAAGGTTCCCACTTCAGGGGCTCTTGGGAGAGAAGGGAGGATCGTGGGCCCCGCGCCAGCGACGAGGAAACGAGTAGCTGCAGCAGCAGTGGCCCGTGCGTGGGAGCAAGTGAAGACCGACGCAGCAGCAGGGGCCTGGGCTCCACTCCTCCCCAGAGTCCAAGTCCGAGGGCGAAGGACCGGACCATGCCTGGTGTGTCCAATTCAGGCCCCTCCAAGTCCTCTAGGGAGACTGCAGACTCATGTGAGTCACATTCTTCTGTTGTCATCCCTGTCTAGGCCACGACACTTTTCCTATTTCAGGGGCTTCAGCTTGAGCCCCTGCAGGCATTTTCGTACTCTGTTGTCACTTTCCTTTGCCCTTTATTTTCTCCGATTGCCTACATTCCCTTATTGAGCCTTCCCTTTTATATCTACATCATTTGTCTGTCGGACATCTTACTCAGATCAAACATCATTTGTTAAATATTATGGATGTATGTAAGTTCTTTTCTGCGGTAATTTAGATCTATGTTTTTCTAATTTTCATTCTGTTGGAGCTCCCTTTAAGGCTTTTTCTTTTTCCTCCTCCTTTTGGTGAGGATGGGTGTTGTGTGGCAAAACTTTTCCTGGGGATACACAACACACATGTCTACTGACCCCAGAGAGGGATCCCACAACAGACCACAGTGCTGGATAGCACCAAACTCCAACTTGGTGAACTAATGAGTTTTTCTGGGTTACTTACAGGAATATGGGTGAGAAGTTACAGGAGCAGAAATGACTCAAAGACAGCTGCATCACCAAAGCCCACCCAGCACGGGTGACAGCTCACAAAAGCTGGGAAACCTGGAGCACTCTGCACAGCCTGCAGGCAGCTCAACAGGTTGAGAGTGTCATTTCCAAGAGACTCTGGACTGAACTTCTTCCAGGTCTCAGAGTCTTTGCAGTTTTTTTTCCTCTTAGAGTCTTTTTGCAGCTCAGATTGAGAATCTTCTTTGCAGCTCAGCTAGCTTCCTTTGGTCTGAGAGGGACTCTCAGCTTTTATTGTTTATTCTATCAGGGAGAGGCCTCGTGAGTCTGGTCAGTTTCAGGGACTTCCCAAAGCTATTTTGAGTTGTGTACCTTCCTGCTCAAGGAGCTTCCTGTAGGATGGAATCTTTCAGGCCTTTCACTTCTTCCTCAGTTTCTTATGTTCTTTCTGTATTCTGTTTCCTATGAACCTTGAGCCTTAGAAGAGTTGACTGTTAGATGTTTACCTCTGATTAAGAAATAGGTCACCATGCCACAGTAACAGTTGCCTGTTGAGCTTTCCCAGTGGTTATGAGTTGAGGCGGACAACAACAGTGATCTATGGGCATAAACTGGTGTTTGTAGGGCAGTTTGACAGGAGCATCATGTCCATCTAGAAAAGCCAAAATTTCCTCTGAACCTTAACTGTTTTTAGAGCATCTCCATGTCCCTCATCAAGCAGGTTTGCTGTCCCGTACCATGTAGACAAAGACTGCAGTCCTAGGGTTTCTCCCACAGACACTCTTTATCCTGATGGCTCAGCCATAGTTGCAGACTGCCTATTGCAAGAACCATGTAACTGCTGTCATAGCACAAAGGCACACTACCATACACATGTAGGAAAGGACGACTCTATGTGCTTTTCCTCCACAGATGCTCATCCACCCAGGTTTCTCAACCTTAGTTACATTTCTTGGTACCCATAGCCGGGATCATATACTCACTCTTCTCCAACTCATCTTTGTTCTGTTGTGTTCTTGTGCAGGTGCCAGTTCTTTGCAGCTCGGCTTCTTTTTGTCTGAGAAGGATGTCCCTTTATGGTGGATTGTG